AGAATGAAAAGAAGAAGAAAAGAAGAAAAAGAAGAAAGAGAAGAATGAAGAAGAATGAAGAAGAAGAAGAAGAATGAAAAGAAGAAGAAGAAGAATGAAAAGAAGAAGAAGAAGAAGAAGAATGAAAAGAAGAATGAAAAGAAGAATGAGAAGAATGAAAAGAAGAATGAAAAGAAGAAGAATGAAAAGAAGAATGAGAAGAAGAATGAAAAGAAGAATGAAAAAAAGAAGAAGAAGAAGAATGAAAAGAAGAATAAAAAGAAGAAGAAGAATGAAAAGAAGAATGAAAAGAAGAATGAGAAGAATGAAAAGAAGAAAAAGAAAAATGAAAAGAAGAATGAAAAGAAGAAGAAGAAGAATGAAAAGAAGAAGAAGAAGAATGAAAAGAAGAATGAGAAGAATGAAAAGAAGAAGAATGAGAAGAAGAAGAAGAAAAATGAAAAGAAGAAGAAGAAGAAGAATGAAAAGAAGAATGAAAAGAAGAATGAGAAAGAATGAAAAGAAGAATGAAAAGAAGAAGAAGAATGAAAAGAAGAATGAGAAGAAGAATGAAAAGAAGAATGAGAAGAAGAATGAGAAGAATGAAAAGAAGAATGAGAAGAATGAAAAGAAGAATGAAAAGAAGAAGAAGAAGAATGAAAAGAAGAATGAGAAGAATGAAAAGAAGAATGAAAAGAAGAAGAAGAATGAAAAGAAGAATGAGAAGAAGAATGAAAAGAAGAATGAGAAGAAGAATGAGAAGAAGAAGAAAGAATGAAAAGAAGAATGAAAAGAAGAAGAATGAAAAGAAGAAGAAGAAGAATGAAAAGAAGAAGAAGAAGAAGAAGAATGAAAAGAAGAAGAAGAAGAATGAAAAGAAGAAGAAGAATGAAAAGAAGTTGAAGAAGAATGAAAAGAAGAAGAAGAAGAATGAAAAGAAGAATGAGAAGAATGAAAAGAAGAAGAAGAAGAATGAAAAGAAGAATGAAAAGAAGAAGAAGAAGAATGAAAAGAAGAAGAAGAATGAAAAGAAGAATGAGAAGAAGAATGAAAAGAAGAATGAGAAGAAGAATGAAGAAGAAGAATGAAAAGAAGAATGAGAAGAATGAAAAGAAGAATGAAAAGAAAGAAGAAGAAGAAGAATGAAAAGAAGAATGAAGAAGAATGAAAAGAAGAATGAAAAGAAGAATGAGAAGAATGAAAAGAAGAATGAAAAGAAGAATGAGAAGAATGAAAAGAAGAATGAAAAGAAGTATTCCAGTACAGCAAAAAGTGTATCTGCAGAGAGCTCCGCTATTTCTGACAGTTCTCTGACAGTTCCTTCACATTTACAGAGGTTGAAACATTGTATCTGTTTCCGAATAAAAACATCTGTATCCTAAATGGAAACAAATAGATACAAGGTTTCAACCGCTGTACATGTGAAGGAACTGTCAGAGAACTGTCAGAAATAGCGGAGCTCTCTGCAGGGACACTTTTGCCGGCTGATCGGGAAAAATCCGATTCGTGCACCCGAAGTTGGCTAATATTCGGATTCGGCACGAATCAAATTTTTCCTGAAATTCGAAACGAATTCCACTTCGCCTGGTTCGATTCGCTCATCTCTAATTGCAAGCTTCCGGAAAACTGCAACATTTTTTGAATCCATACAGACCAATATACAAAATGAATGGCGAAGATACAAAATGTATTCTGAAAAAGAATCAGCTGAACATAACAAATATGACAAAACAAAATTCTTCAATGAACACATGCAACCAAAACAAAGCAAAACAAAAATTTCCGGCATGCACACATCTAGTACCGTGTGTCCCCAAAAATTAGACACTGTCTTATATTTTTTTGGCTCAAAAAAACACACTAGGTCTTATTTTGGGGGTAGGTCTTATTTTTTAAATGTCCAGGTGTGGCCAGGGGGTGCAGAGGTGAGCTGCAGGCAGTTGTGGATGAGGGTTACTATGGAGAGTGCCGGTTGATGACAGTTGTGAGATGCAGTCAGGTGTTGCAGGGGTGACTTGACAGGTGAGATTCAGACAGGGTGCAGATATGAGCCACAGACGGGGTAAAGGGGTGAGTTGCAGACGTGGGATGCAGAGGTGAGCTGTGACCAGGGGGTGCAGAGCTGAGCTGTGGCTGGGGGTGCAAAGGTGGGTTTCAACTCAGATCACCTCTGCACCCCCCCCCAGCCACAGCTCTCCTATGCACCCTGTCTGCAACTCACCTGACTCAATTTACCTCTGCAACACCTGACTGCAGCTCAGCTTTGCACATAACCCCCCTCCCCCTCCACTGCCCTCATATGGTTAGCTAGTTTTGCAAAACACAGCTGTCAGCAGCCTGCCCCTCTCTATAGTAACTCCCGTATTGGGACCTATCTTCCCACACAGTGCACCAAGCGCACTTTCTCACTGCTCCGCCTCTTCCCCACTGCACTTGTCTGGATGTTGTGAATGGGCTTTTCTTTACCATAGGGAGGATCCTGCGACCATCCACCACTGTTGTCTTCGGTGGATGTCCATAACTTTTTATGTTGCTGAGCTCACAACTGCGTTCTTGTTTCCTCAGAATGTACCAAACTGCTGATTTGGCCACTCCTAATGTTGCTGCTATCTCTGTGATGGATTTGTTTAGCTTTTGAAGCCTTACAATGGCATGTTTCACGTGCATGGAGAGCTCTTTTGAACGCATGATGTATGTTCACAGCAATAGATTCCACATGCAAATACCACACTTAGAATAAACTCCATACCTTTTACCTGCTTAATTGATGAAGAAATAACAGAGTATCCCACACCTGGCCATGAAACAGCTTTTGACTCAATTGTCCAATTACTTTTGGTCCCTTGATAAAGGTGGGGTGACTACTCTTAAGAGCTGTAATTCCTAAACCCTTCCTCCAATTTGGATGTACATACCCTCAAATTAAACCTGAGAGTGTGCACTTTCAGCCCATATCCATTCTATAACTATAGCATGAATATGTTTTGGTAAATACCTGACAAAAACTAAAATTTTGCCTGTGTCCAAATATATACAGTATGGACCTAACTGTATATAGCAATCTTCCTGAAAAACGGCAACGTTTTATGAATCCACTCTGATTAATGAATATACGAAACAAATGCCAAAGATACAAAACAAATTCTGAAAATGAATTGGGTCAACATAACAATAACAAATATGATGAAACAAAATTCTTCCAAGAACAATGCATCCAAAATTAAACTAAGCAAAAATTTCCAGCGTGCACATGTCTAGTAATACCTTTGACCTAATGCTCCTTTCTGTATTTCAATGAAAGAAAATTACTTCTGCTATTCTCTATTTAAAAAAAAAAGAGTGCTATGTAATGTCTGTGTTATGGAAGCATCCTGTATTAAATATGTATTTGTAAAACAAAGATTCTATGGCATAGAATATAAAACATGAATTTAAACAGGTCGAATACTTTGTTCATCCTAATTAAGGCTGTTCTACCAGAAATACATTTACAATATACAATATGCACTTGTATCAAACTTATGTTAGGTTATGAAATTCATTACAAACTTATTTTTATGCTTCATTTTTTTGTTTAGCATTTTGCATTATATTTTTTATTTTCAAAGCTCATCAAGAGAAGAAGAAAAAAATCCCTAGGGCAGCTAGACGTTAAAACATTCATTATCACTAACAGCATACAGCAACTGGATTCCACAATGCTGTGCCTCTTGACATTACATGTTTTAGTATTTAAGGAACCTACAGCCAGCCACTGTGTATTGGGCAGTTGTTGCTGCAACAAGCACTGGTGTAAGAGGATATCAGATGAGCAGGTTTATAAAGGTACATTTTTAATTTGTGTTGTTCTTCACTTTTTACAAAGGTTTACACTACCTTAGGTAACACGGAGTTAACTTAGATGCATTTAATAATATGTATCAATAATTATCATCTGTTTTATATGATAAATGACCATGTTGTAAGATAGTTGTGTTAAATAGGTACTCTACAATAGAACAATGTTAATTCAGCAGTCGATCAGATCATCTCACTGACTGGTATTATTGGTAGTGATGTCAGTCATGTCAGCTTTAAAAATTTATAGCTGATGTACAACAGTCAAGTTTCAGGTGTTATAGGGAGGTTACTCTTGTATATTCCTCTGTGTATGCTTTATTTTATATAGAAACAATTATATTTATTGTGCAGTAACCCTAGATTTATAAAAATACATGAAAATGTGACAATGACAATACAAAATGTAGTTGATAGAAGTCACCCACATCCATATAGCAGCTCGTAATTTAGGCTTAGGTGCCCTGACACTCATCTGTACACAGGATAGAAAAAGGGGATATTCTGGTGAGCATGGATTAGACTTTAAAGTGGTCACCATGTTATAACACCTGTGAATGGGTAGGTAAATGCTAAAGGTTCAAAGGTTTTTCTGCTAAAGTTGGCAAGTCATTACATAGCTATAAGGTAAACCATATATCTAATTTCATATGATTATCCATTTTAATTGAAGGTCAAAGCAAAAGATTTTGCAGTTTGCTCTCTAAGACTCTCAGTTTTCCTAATGTAGCTGTGAAATATGTGCTTTTCTAATTTTGGCTGATTAATAGAACTGACACACCTGCCGTTTGCTTAGCTAGAAACGCATCTGAACTAACATTTTCTTTTCATCTCTAGATGAAAATGATAACATTTCTGCAAGTCACCTTATTATTATTCTTTGTGCATGCATTAAATGTACCTCTTTGGACTCTTTGTGGCTACATACATGAGAATTATGTCAAACAGAACTACAGTTCAAAAATGAAATAATTATTAACCTTATTTATGGTTTGTTTTAGGACTGCAGTCAATTATGCTATAAAAATAAATTCCTGTGATAAATCATTGATGTGGGTAATCATAACCTGTGCACTTGTCAGTGACTCTGCAGCATGGAAATTGAAAAACCTAATTGTTCTCAATTTCAAAACTTATCCTTCTGCTCTACAAATCAGTATCTTGCCATCCGTCTAGGACTTTACATGTTCTTCACATGTTCCATAACTATTAACATCTTTGGAAATTTTGGTATGATTATTACTATTGCCCATTTTAAACAACTTCATTCAGCAACAAACCTTCTTATTCTTTCCTTGGCATTAAATGATATGTGTATTGGAATATTTATAATGCCATACAGCATGGTAAGAACAGTGGAAAACTGCTGGTATTTTGGAAACCTGTTCTGTCAGATACATTATGGTTTTGACATGACTTTATGTATCATTTCTATTTTTCATCTCTGTATAATTGCAATTGACAGGTTATATGCAGTGTGTAAGCCACTCCATTACCCCATAAAAATTACTCTGCCCGTCACTAAAAGGTTGGTCTTATTTTGCTGGTCAGCTCCTATGATATTTTCTTTGGGTATAGTTATATCAAATTCTCATGTGTCTGGCATTGAGGGATATGATCTTCTAGTCCAATGTTTCAATGTGTGTCCAATCACATTTAACAAATTATGGTCAGTGGTGGTTTTCTTTATATGTTTTTTTTTTCCAGGAGCTTTAATGGTTGGAATCTATGTGAAAATATTTCTGGTTTCTCAAAAACATGCAAAGCTTATAAAGGCTGCAGTTGTGGATTCAAACACATCACAAAAAGTTTCCAAGAGGAAAGAGCGCAAGGCAGCTTGGAAACTAGCTATTTTGATGGGAGTCTTCCTTTGCTGTTGGATGCCATTTTTTGTAGCTTTACTAATTGATCCGTTTATGAACTTTACTACACCAAAAGTAATTTTTGAAGTAGTTAACTGGTTTAGCTATATAAATTCAACATGTAATCCTATTCTGTATGGCTTTCTCTATCCATGGTTTAGAAAAGGTCTCAAACATATAATATCTGGTAAAATTTGTTACTCTGATGCTTGTGCAAATCTGTTTCCTGCTGAATAGGAAATTATACAACAAAAATCTATTTTTGCTCTAATTTGAGTACAATCTTGTTATGTACTAATGAGATTATAGAATGAATAAATAATATTTACATGTGTTAAATTTATATTCAATCCTGGAAATTATGAATGAAGAAGAAAACTTATTATGCTTTTGCTCTAGTCCTGGCTAAAAGTATGAGCCATGGTCCCTGGTGATCCATACAAAAACATACCTGTAGTTCTGGATAAACATTTGGCCACTGGAGTATAAGGTAGTTACTTAATGTCCTTTAATTAATGCACAGATAAAAAAAATCTTTCACCAGCCTGCCCAGTCTATACTGTGTATGATACCAAGTTTTGCTGCTTACCCTATAACAGGGGCGGATTGACCATTTGGAAACTCGGGCACTGCCAGAGGGCCCGGGGTCAGTAGGGGGCCCCATGAGATGCCCCTGGTACCTTTTTCATAGGCTTTTTTGAGTTTGGGCAAGGACACAGGGGCCCCATGATCCCCTATTGCCCAGGGGCCCCATGAGTTGTCAGTCCGCCCCTGCCCTATAATAAATCTTTCCAATTTCAGATATAATTTATGCATAATACTTGCAATACATGAACTACACTTGTTTAAAGTTGAACTACAGTCATTTAATGCATTGTTTCTGTAATTGCAACTAGTATAAGTACCTAAATTTGACTTGTTTTGAGCATCTGGCAATCCCCTATATGACAGCACATTCGTTAGGAAAGAGAGGGGCTGGGCTGGGAGTCAATCAGATGCACTGGTGCAAATGTATGGACAAGGAATCATAGGAAGAGAGCTCACAAAACCAGGGCAGGCTGGTTGTATTTCAAGAATTCGGATCCAGTCAAAAAAATTTGGAAGCTGTCTCAGATTCTATTCTTTCAAACTGTTTAATACACCGATCTATATACTCACAGAGTTATGCAATTGATATATGGTTCTAATGACTACTTATAAGGATAAGGATTTCCCTGCCTAGACAACAACATTGTTTTCCTGTATTTTTTCCAAAACTGTATTTTGATGACTTATTTTATAAGGAAACAATGATATAGTTCTTGAGAGGAGTAGAGGATTAGTCTTTAGAAAGGGTATGTTATAGATCAATAATATGTCTTTATATTGATTGTTTCCTTAATTCTCTTTGTTTTTTTTTTTTTTTTTTTTGCAATAAAAATCTTTGTCCTGTTTTCGGTACATGTTTGTTGTATAGAACATTTTCATACAACCTACTTGAACCAGCTAGAGGTGGAGAGAGGACATTAATGTGATCATATACCTGGTTATACTGTATGTTGGGGCTGTGTAAATCTTAGAAGTGGAGGGACAGAAATACGACTGTAATATCCTTGATCTCGTCTTCTCCAACCGCTGCGCTCCCCACAACCTCACTAACACCCCCTTCCCTCTCTCTGACCACAACCTGATTACCTTCTCTATCTCTTTGTCCTCCAACACCTACCTCTCCAAATGTCACACTACTACCAGCCGTAACCTCCGCAACCTTAACCCTGCCCCCCTCCACTCTGCAGCTGATCAACTCCACGACAGCATCCTCCCCCTGTCCTGCCCCGACTTGGCTATGACTGCCTACAACAACGCGTTGTCAACAGCCCTTGACTCACTAGCGCCTTTAACTACACGCAACATCAGACCCCGACCGCTCCAGCCCTGGCAGACTGACCACACCAAAACCCTCAAAACACACAGTCGTGCCCTGGAGCGACTATGGCGCAAAACCAAATCCCAACAAGCCTTCACCCGATACAAATCTGCCTTCCACACCTACACCTCCTCCCTCCACGCAGCCAAACAAGCCTACTTCCTGACCCTCATCAAGGCCCTCTCCTCCAATCCTCGCCGACTCTTCTCCACCTTCAACTCTCTACTCTTGCCACCCCCACCTCCACCCAGTACCTCACTCACTGCCCTTGAGATTGCCAATCACTTCAAAAACAAGATTGACACAATTCGCAAGGACATCGCCGCAACTCACACGCCCTTTCAACCTGTCCCCTCTCACACAGCTACCCCCTCATCCCCCCTCTCCCTTGACATAACCCGCAGGGACTTCGTCGCTGCTCAAACTCCCTCCAACCCCATTCCCCCTCACTCAGCTACCCCCTCATCACCCCTCTCCCATGGCCCCACCAGTGCTCTGACCTCCACTTCCACCCCACCCTTCATTCCTCATACTGAAGCCCCCCCAACACTTCACACCTTTGACCTTACTACCATTGAGGAAGTCTCCAAAATCCTCTCTGATGCCCGCCTCACCACCTGCCCCCTCGACCCTATCCCCTCACAACTCCTGTGACCTCCCTCCCCCTCCATCCTACGCTCCCTCACCCATGTCTTTAATCTCTCCCTCTCCTCCGGCACTTTCCCCTCCCCTCTGAAACATGCACACATCACCCCCATACTTAAAAAGCACTCCCTGGACCCCAATGACACGAACAACCTCAGACCCATCTCCCTGCTTCCATTTACATCCAAACTCCTCGAGTGCCTAGTCTACACTCGCCTATGCTCTCACCTCAACGACAACAACCTCCTCGACCCCCTACAGTCCGGCTTCCGTCCCCTACACTCCACCGAAACTGCCTTACTCAAAGTCTCCAACGACCTGATAACCGCCAAAGCTAATGGCCACTATTCAGTGCTCCTACTCCTTGACCTCTCTGCGGCCTTCGACACAGTCGACCACCCCCTCCTCCTCAAAAAACTACACTCCCTCAGCCTCAGAGATTCTGCTTTCTCCTGGCTCTCATCCTACCTGTCACAACGCTCTTTCAGCGTTACCTATAATGCTACCACCTCCCCCTCACTCCCCCTCTCTGTTGGGGTCCCTCAAGGCTCCTTCCTCGGGCCCCTTCTCTTCTCCATCTACACCTCCTCCCTTGGCCAACTCATACACACTACAACTACCACCTATATGCCGACGACACACAAATCTATCTCTCAACCCCCCACCTCACCCCCTCAGTCTCTGCCCGAATCACACACCTACTGAGCGACATATCTGACTGGATGTCGCTCCACTTCCTTAAACTGAACCTCTCCAAGACCGAGTTTCTTGTCTTCCCCCCAGCCCGGACACCACCTCCCATTGACTTCTCCATCATGTCCAACAACGCCACCATCAAACCCGCCCCACAGGCCAGAGTACTTGGTTTCATTCTGGACTCCAACCTATCCTTCCAGCCCCAAGTCCAATCTTTAACAAGCTCGTGCAGACTCCACCTTCGCAACATCGACAAAATCTGCACGTTCATAACCCCAGAAACCACTAAACAGCTCATCCACTCCCTCATCATATCATGACTCGATTACTGCAACTCCCTCCTTACTGGCCTGCCTCACCGCTGGCTATCCCTGCTTCAGTCGATCCTGAATACCGCAGCCAGACTCATTCACCTTTCCAACCGCTCCATCTCCGCCACCCCCCTCTGCCAATCCCTCCACTGGCTTCTGATTGCGCAACGGATCAAATTCAAAATCCTAACACTGACGTACAAAGCCGTCCACCACACTGCCCCGAACTACATCACTGACCTAATATCCAAGTACCACCCAGCACACACACTCTGCTCCTCACAAGACCTCCTTCTCCCTAGTTCCCTGGTCTCCTCCTCCCATGCCAGCCTCCAGGACTTCTCTAGGGTGTCACCCATCCTCTGGAACTCCCTGCCCCAACCCATCAGATTATCACCTACTCTCCTCTCCTTTAGGCTTCCCTGAAAACCCATCTCTTCAGGGAAGCCTACCCCACCCCCTGCTAACTTGCCAACCTCCTCCACTCTTCCTACCACTCCATCCCCCACAGCTATCTCCTCTTGTGCCACCATCCCCTCCCTCCTAGATTGTAAGCTCGAAAGAGCAGGGCCCTCAATTCCCTCATGTTTTGCATTGTATTGTTATTGTTCTGTCACATGTTCTGTCCCCCTTTGTAATGTACAGCGCTGAGCGAACTATCGGCGCTTTATAAATACTGTATAATAATAATAATACAAATCCTTTTAAAGGTAAGACAGCTTCCATATAGTGCATGTATTTCATCATTGTATTTTGCTGTTTGGAGCCAATTGTTAAGTCCATCTAATATTTCAAATACACATGTGCAATTAAAGGAGGAAGCAAAGCCTCTAGGGGGCATTATGAGAAATCTCTGACATATATATGTAAAATAATAACAGTTTAATGAAAAGTACAATTCTGGAGACTTCAAGAGAGATTGTAGAGAAAGAAAGGAAATAAAACGTAAATTTGATCTAGCTCTTACTGCTTTCAATATAACATATTCAAGAAAGTCATTTACATGAATGAGTGAACAATTAATCTTCACTGGAGTTTGGTTAGTTATACCAGGATGATGCCTGCAGCTGCAAGCATTATCCCAGTACCTTTTTTTAGAGCCCACGTCTCTCTCTTGTAAAAGCAATTCGAGTGGCTAACTAGCCACTTGGTTGCTTTTAAAAGCAGCGGGAGGGGACGTACCCCACCTCCTGCTGCCTTTCATGGCTTTACAGGGATCTCCCATCCCACCGGGAGTCCCAATGGACCAGCTCTTCTGCCAGCTGATCATAAAGCCGAACAAAGACCTGATCGGCTTTGTTCTGCTCTATTATATAGTAACCCAGAATCAATGACCTTACATTACTTCCCGTTTACTCAGATATAAACGACGCCATTTTTTAAAAAGAAAAGCATTTGATCACTCTGATCTTGGTGTGATCAAATACTTTTAAGGGCAAAGGAGGGATTTGAGGTCTTATTGAGTACCTTATAGAGTACCAGTCACATGCCTATTGCTGTCACAAGAGATGTTTACATTCTTTGTGACAACAAAAAAAGTATGCATTTTTTTTTAACAGTTGTAAAAATGTGCAATTTTAAAGCGTGATACATTTGGTATCCATTTACGTGGTGTATCGTTTATTTTTTACAAAAAAAGGGATGTGTTTTTCTGCATTAAAATTTGAAAGTGTATTTTA